GGATTCGTTGGTGATCCATACTGAAGCTTCTCACAGTTGATTATTGACCATATACGGGGAAGCGCGAAAACAGTGTGTGACGTTAGAATTTTTATTGCATGTTTGTGAAATCTACGCAGAAGAAGAGATTACACTGAAGTGCCAACGTGCTGAGGGAGTGACAACAAACTTCACTGATTGCAAAGGCAAAGCTCTATTCAAAGCAGTTCACTGAAATCTCGGAATAGCCCAGAGTACAAAATCCAGTTCGTTGGACCTCGAACCTAATAATGCCAAAATCACTTAGTATAAACAGCACGGAACAAATTTGCATTGAAAACAAAACTGCCGATCAAGTAAGATATGACTGGATGAAGTAACATGTTGAAATGAGAGCCTATTGAAAACTCGGCTCAAGACTTCAAGAAAAATGATCACTTAACATTGCTCGTACAACTCATCCAAACAATGTACCGTTTACTAGCGCCTTCAATGCAGCCAAGAAAACCGGTTACTATTATGAATTATAACCAAACAAGTCCACATTGAAGTAACTGCGGTCTAATTTCAGTTGTACAATATACGACGAATACGTAACTAATCGAAATCTAAAATTTGTGTTTTCTTATAAAAAAAAAAATATGCCGCTGATATGTTAAAGTTTATTAGTGCCAAGAGGTTGTTAACGAAAAAGATTCAAAAGTCCTTGGGTCCGACGGTTAGTACGAGAGATACATTGTACGTCAATCTAATCATCCCATTAAAAGGTTATCGAGAAATCTGTATACTCGTTCGATGTTACAAGCAAAATTGTTTGGATAGCCCCAGGTATCCAACACCAACAGGCATAAATCATTGGACAGCATTGTTAACAAGTCGCCTCTAAAAATGTCTGTAGGCCACGCCTTCAATCCGTGCCTTCACGTATATATTAATAACAATAAAAACGACCGTATGAAATTTATTTGAAAACCCCGTAGCAATCCGTAGGGCTGCAATATACGAAACTTTTTTTTTTAATTTTAAAATAGATCTCCGAAGGCGCATATCGACGTCAAAAGGTTCTACCGTTCGTAGCATAGCGGTAGCAAACGATGTACCGTATGTTAGTGCGACCTAAGTCATTTGCAAGAAGCAACGTAACATCCGATTTACTATTGTTTGATAAATGCTTCTTTATTCCATCATAGTCCAGAAGTTTTTAGTTGTTTTCTGTTTCGATAATAAGAATGCCTCAATCGACCCTAAATAAAATAGGCTTCGGACTTGCTTTAGGTCGCCAAATTGATACTCGTAGCGAAGACCTAATATACAGTCATGCAAGCGTAAAAGCTTAGTTGACGTACTTCACGTGTTTAGAATGCCTGGTTGCTTGCCGTATGTACCGTGACGTGTTGTTAAGACCAAGTTACGCTACCCGGCTGCGGGTGGCTAGACAAAGAAGATTTTTCCTGCATGCATATATAGAAAAAGAGTCTTCTCGAGTTCCGTACCAAACTATAACCAGCTAAACAAAAAGTTACCACATCTAACCGCAATTGGACCCGTCAACCTGCAAGTCAATGTTGTGTGATGCACTACAAATCAGTCAACTCCACCACGCTCGCTTTCCACACTCGACCCAGCCAAGATTGACCGCCAAAGCCTCCAGCCAAACCCGAATAGTTATACAGAAGTGTTTGCAATCCATTTCTAATCCCATTATATTACTATTTTGCGTCCAGGGATGGAGATGAAATGGCTACGACCGTCACAGCCACTGCCGCTGATGCCTCTGCTACTGATGTTGCAACCCTGTGCTTACAGCCCCGTAATATCTGAATGTTGAACTCCGTTGGTACCGTACTCTATGGCGCTATTAGCGCAGACTAGACAAACAAAAGGCTTGGGAGACGCTGTGCACGTCGCGCTTACATGGAGGTAGATTGGGGCACACGCGCACACAATAAGCTGTTGCGCACGATGCATGCAGGTATCGGCCTTCTCTCGCTGTGCTTGGCTCTCTACAGAATAAGGACAGCAATGCTTTTCTGCGATAAGAGCAGCTGTTCTATCACCTTTTGCGATCGCGAAAACATAGCAGGAACTTGTTAAAAGCTTTACGGGACGTAATAAGAGCTATATTATCATAACAAGTTCACGATCGGGCGGAAACGATGTCATCGTCTCTTATTTAAGTTACACCGGCTTTTCCTTCTTATTGTTGGTGCAATGCTACTAGTTGTCGCAGTATCACTTCCAGGTCCTCAATTATGGTAGCAGAACTAAGGGAGCTGTGTAAGAGCAATTGGAAACAGGCCAAGGTATGTCTGTTTGCTGTGGGTGGCAAAGTGGTGGTGGGCACAACATTAAGAGCGCAAGCGGGACATGGAGCAACCAGGCCTGTTAAAGGTCAACACACCCTTTATCGCAACTCGCCTTTCAAGCTCTTTCGTTATTTTGGGTGGACTATACCGTATGGCCAGCGATAGTGGCAATGGCAATGGTGCTGTCCGGGAACCCCCAGCGAGCCAAGACGCGCACTGACTTGGCTGAAAAAACCCACAAATGACGCGTTCAGAGGCTTTAAAATTTTGGAGAAAAGAGCCATAGAAGAGTGGTGGCGGCTGCGTGGGAAGGATACGGTAATCCAAAAGTAACGGTTTTCCATTGTGGTGCGCTGATGAAAACAAGACGTGAGCGTAACTTTAAGGCTACAACTTTCAAACTAGTTTGTGTTGTCTGCTCACAGTTGCAAAGCTAGAACCAGCAGACAAAACAAGGTTTCGTACGTTAGCAATAACACCAGCAGCGACTATTTAAATCTATAGGATATAGGGCTCCCGCTTCCCTATTAAGCTATTAACTTAATTTTGGTCTGCTGAGATCTAGCAACTTCAGTAAAAGGTGTTATTATAATAATAAGTTTAGAACGTTGGTGGTTTGATCTACATTTTGTGGGAATTAAACTCGCCTACCGTATTGTCTATAGTCTGATCGAGTGGTAAATGCTTTTCCTAGCGTTCCGGTTTGATATCAGCCTGGAACTTCTTAGTGGATTGTCCTTTAGCTGACTATTGAAACAAATCTCTTGAATGTGACCTTAATGCCCTGCGGAATGGGTGAGCGTGAATATTAATTTTATGTATGAAATGCATGAGAACGCGTGAGGGAATAAATGTACAAAGGTGCTTCATTTAGCTTCAAAGCGCTCTCGTCACTGTCTCATCTGAAAAATCGGCTTTCAATGCTAGAACGCAAGCCGTAGCGAAATCTGACGATCGGCGCATACGTGCACGTCAGAACAAGAAAACACGGCCCCTAATACAAGCAACGTCCATAAGGGCTAGACGTTTAAACGTAAACAAAACGAATTCAGTTGTCCAAATCTAAGGTCTATCCTGAAAATGTCAATGTAAACTACGGTACTCTCGAGCGATTTTCGAAGGGATGAATGAGCTGGATTTTCAAAGTGAGGGTTGCTCCGCATGACGGATATATACGGATGAGCCTTTAGACAGCAAATCGCTGAGAAACATGCACATGTCTTCTTAATTGCGTCAGTAAACAGAGGCTGAAGTAGACGATCGTGCCGTTTTCTCAATCTATTTTACGACTTTAGTAAAAGCGACCAGGGTGAATAACAGACTCATGCAAAAGTCTTGTTGATCGAAACAATCCGACGTACCACTTGATTTTGCCCCATAGACAAAATAATATACGTCCCGGTTTTTGACGTATCGATGAAATACGGTTTAATTATTAAGGAATAAACTTGAGAAGCAGTCCGTTGTTTACAGATGCTACATTCAAATGTGACCGTATCGAGCGCTTACAATATTATATTATACAATAGCACTGTCTAAACGTATAAATTCATTTTAATTCTTCCTACCGTTTTCATGATATTCAATTCATGTTTGATTGGTATTTTCGATGAAACATATTTTAATAACGGACCATTATAGCCCCAAGGATGCTTACGAGTTACGTCGTAGAAAGTAACTTTTGTTCGCTGAAGGGCCCCATAGTATACTTAGCAGTACTATAAGCCAACAAAACTATATATATGCAAATTCACGAAAACATTCTTACACAAATCGTCTGTAGCCTCATATCATTCAGTGGGCTTCCGTAAAAGGTTATTGATTGGAGAGACGTCTGAAAGTAACAGGTGCGGTAGGTGCAGTGCAGAATGGGTGATTCACAAGCGAGCTCGTTGATATGACCGTCGTCACGTGGACTAAGTAAACGAACATTGTGGATACCCCACAGGGGAACTCCAGCGTAGCGCGCTGCGGTGTTAATAGCAACAGAACATTCGGTAGGATCCTTTTGAATGATTGACGTTAATTCTTGCACGACACATGGTTAGTTGACTCAAATATTATATTTGTTGACTGGCTATTGATTTAAAAATTGTAGGCCGATGCGTAGCATTTATAAGAAACTACCCTTTACACTTAAAATCTCAGGTTAGTGAAAAACAAGGCGCTGATTGCTTGCTGTGCATGTGCCTTAAATGTCGATAAAAATTATAGCAGCTGTAGATTGTCGAAACTACCGCTAATAACTTCGCCTGAAACAGAATTCAGCGGAAGCCAATGGACGCCGAGTTCGGTATCTTTGAAAGGCGGTAATATTCAGGGAGTAGCAGAATCTGGGTGCCATAAGGATAGCAGGTAAAAATTTCTGTTACTTCTACTACTAATACTAAAACCAGCGAACATTCTCGGAGAATGCAAGGCCGTTGAAGGTTGCGGACGATAACGTATAATAGCACTTATGTGCACAAAATACGTTAACCCTTCAATATGATTCCATCTGTGTTTTCGTCTAGTGAACGTGACACGATCGTACAATGAAGGCCTACATACAGGATGAATGTACCGCCCTGCATGCCTGCGTGTTAGCGAGTCTCTGTTCCTAGAAAAAAATTGTTAGGTTTAGCTAGTTTGGTTCTGTTAGGCGAATACTCGCAAGAAGAGCTTGGTCTAAGAATATAGGTGAGCAGACAATGTTTATTGGCGAATAGTGCTCGTTACAGAATGACCCCGGATATATGCACACGGAGAGGTGTCTCCTCTCTCATGCAACAAACCTGCTACAAACAAAACAAACAAAAGTGCTAGCCTGTAATAATCTTTGTTGTGTTAGTTTCTCCCTTTGGATGTTGACTACAATTAGAGAAAGGAAAGAACAGTGATTGTCGTAATATAAGCAGCAGCTGTGGCAGGTCGTCACTTTTACACTAAAGGCAAAAGCCTCTTGAATTATCAAGTCTTCTTAATAGCCTTCTTTCTTCGAGCGCGCAGGATTTTTAGCCGACAGCAGAGATTTTGGTCTACCACCTGAAACAAATAGGGATCATTAGCGCATTCTTGTCTAATTATCGTATTATTATGATCGGTACATTAGTTATCTATTTATAAAGAATCAAGACTCTTTAGATTAATTTTCCGCCCTACCGGTTCTACTTATCTATCTTTATTACTATTAAACGCTGTGCATGTGAGCAATGCAACGACCACTTGAGGATACTCTTACTTAGAGATTTGTCTATAGCCTCAGTTGTGAGAAGGTATGCTACCTACCATAAAGGCTGCGGCGTTGTCGAAATACCCGCAGTAGTTGGGGGCAGAAAAAAGGGTGATAAGCTTTCTTTTACAGAAAAACTCATATCCATCCTCCACAACCTGTTGCATAAAATACGAATAGACAAATTCATTTGTTTGTGAAAGTGTGTACCAAAGGGCAGAACAAAACAGGACTTCATTCGATACCGAATAAGGTCATGGAATTTACCTGATGGCCCCTGCATATAAGTTCCATATCCTGTTTATTGAGAAAATCTTCGATAATGTTACTACCTGGAAAAGTTTGTTGTCATACGTTAGCGCTGTTGTGAAATATGCGGATGCCTAGCAAACATCGTCAACGACAGCAAGCTGAATTGATGCCCGTGGTCGTACTAACTTACGCACTACGTGTGGCGTAATGTAGATTCAATACCCTATAATCTTAATAGTGCTTGATCGTAATGGATTAAAATGAAAAATCATGCTACTTCATTAAAAATACGGAATAAACTACATAAAACCTAGTTACATGATGTTTCGTTGGACTTATCGTTGAATTAATGCTAATCTTTTTGCTTGATTGATAGCATTGATGCTTTTAATACATTATACTCCTGGCTGTATACGCAGTCTGTACTGCAGGATAACAGCGTATCGTGCTTCGCTAATGGAACGTCGAATCCGTATCTAGCAATCTGAAAATTCATACTTCAACTTCAGTTAGCATGCTTGGATTATTTATGTTGAGTGTCCAACAGCGTGTTCCTGTGACGTTCAATTGGTATTGTGTTAGCCTCTTACGGATACGTGTGGCAGGGACGCATTCTGCTCAGCACGAACGGTGTCAAGCAGTGCTTAAAGGCACTGTTGGATATCACTCGCCTACAGATTTATGGATGCAATCAAGTAACCTCAGTCGCCAAAACTAAAAATTAGTCGGAAACTTGGGTCTCGGTTCAAAAATCATTATAGATCTTTCATTATAAATGAAAATAACAAAGTTATGAACTAGCTATAATCGGTAGTTTGAGGCTGATACAAACTATCGGCCTGAAACTATCTATTTCCCAATTTAGTAAGTTCGCTAGGCTTGTGCTTTATTTAAAGAGGCTGAGGATAACCCCGAATGATTTGGTCGAGAGGAGACAATTTTGCAGTAGCATTATCACCACACACCTTCTGATCGGTGTACTAACGAGAACATTCCGTATGAAGAACAGCATATGAGTACTACGAACTGTATGAGCAACTATATAATTCTGCAATACGATAAAAACACTAACCGAAAACGACGGAAACGCCGCGATCGTTATCTGCCCAGCCGATGATATCCTTATCAGGATCAGACCAAAGGAGGTCGCATAGGAGGCCCGAATCAGGTACATCTACAGGCCGACGGATCTTCCGAATTTGTTCCATCGAAAGCAACTCTGGCGAAAGGCCGCCGTGACAACAGAATATCTGCGTTTCATTGTAGAGTAGTTAAAAAAAAAAATTGGATCTGAATTCAAATGTTAGCTACAGTATGTGATGCCATCTACACGCTTATAAACAAAGCCATGCTTTAGAGAAAAGCATGTTTTTGCAAATAAAGTATTCCCGCTAGCCTGTTGTTTAAGGTGACCTATCCATATTTCAGAGAAGTATAATGGAAATGTTAATTGGCATTCTGCAGAGTATTAAAACGTACGTTACTCCAGATACCTATGCGTATCTAATCTTCCGATGTCTGTGTCAAGAATTGCAATAAGGGTTAAAATACTTTACGACTAAGACACGGTGTAGATCGACGATTGAGAGCGTCACAATATCTTGTATCAATTAATTGAAAATGTTTGTATTATATATATAAAAAATATTAAAAAAAAAAATAAAATATGGCTTCGGAGAACATAAGGCCAAACATCGTCTCGCTATTTTACTTTCACCTAAAAATATAGAAATTCGGTAAAAATATCAATAAAAGCAATTTAGTAATTGATCACTCTTGGTGAGAGCGAACGTCGGGTTTTCATGGAACTTTTCGGATGAAAATGCTCAAAACATAGTTCAGGATGTACGGTAAAAAAACGCACTTTTTAAACCAATACATTAAAAAAAATCACCGGCGACTACATGTTTCATTGATTAACCTAAAATTGTTGACACTTCACTGAGCTGAGTTCCTCCGTACCTTTTCATCGACAATAGCAGCTACAGGCATACAATTGAAACATTCTGTAAACGTCTTCCATAACTTCACACTGTAACTGCAATGAACGTTCATTAAAAACGTTTGTAAAAAATAAAACGTTATTTTTCCAATGATTGTGCTACCTAAACCAACCGCCACCTAAAAACTGTGAACGATAGGACGAAAATGTTCTAGTATGTAATGTACAGTGGTACGTAATTACTAATTCTGCAGTGGAATTCGTATTTTGGATTGTAATTATAGAATCCTTAAGTCTGAACTGAAAAAACAATATTAACCTCATCAAAATACGACATGGTAGCGCTAAATCGGACATTTGTAAAATACAAAGGATATTTTAAAGGTCCTAGTTGTCGTGTCGAAAAAATATATATTTCTTTATATCTAATTTATATATAATAAATTCTATAGCATTCATCATTGGTACAGCCTACGAATGTGTCGGAGAAAACGGTTCTACTTAAAGGAAAACCATTCAACTGCGAGAAAAGCCATACTCGAAAAACTGATGCGCACTTTGTCGCTCGCTGAAATTGGCAGAAAAAAAATCGGTCGGCCGACGGACGGACGGACTCTGACAGGCATATTGGTCAAGTACAGGTGATGAAATAAGACAATCTAGATAAAAAAAATACAGCTCAAAACGACATTTGTAACAACAGATTGCAGATGTATATATCATACCCAATTCGAAAGTCGGCCATCGATCATAAAAATGATGCTATAGATCTTAAAATCAGGTTCTCTAGGATTTCAATAGAGAGATAAAACGTTGAGGGCCACGAAGAGAAGAACGCTTCCAGCCTCATTGCACAATATTGATTCTCAACTAAGGACGTTATTAACATAGCCAGCGTGCAAGGTACACGCCAGGACATCAATTTTGCTCGATGCAAACTTGGGAAAAACAAGATGGTAAATTGGTATAGGAAATTCAGTTAATAAATTATGATCTCTACAATCTGCTTAAACGACTTTGTCTCGTCTAACCTTGCTCAGTACCACAAATGCAACCAATAAACTTCAACAGATCTAAACGCGTTAACATGGCCTATATGACGATGCCATATATTCAGTGTCGACATTGATTTCTACCTACCGACGTTTGCATTCATCATAAAATCCGTATAGACGCGATATAGACGCAGCTTCATGATTACCGCGCAGTAGCTGGACCTGACGAGGATATTTAACTTTGTAGCAAAAGAGAAGCACAATCGTCTCCATACTGTGTTTACCTCGATCAACATAGTCACCTGAATGTGTTATTGAATCAAACGTCGTGGGTCAAATGGATGTTACTTTAGCACATATAAAACCCATCGAGGCGTGAATGTATCAGGATGGCGCTGCTGATAACTAAAAGGGGACCTAGAAAGTTATGATGGAATCAAAGGTTAGAAGGTCATTCACTTTGTCAGCGACGTGAGTGCCGATCCACTACTAGACGAAGACAAGCAGCCGTGTCCGTATAATTTTTGGTAAGAAAAAAAACTTCCTTTTTTATGGCAGATATTGGTTTACTAACAACTGGCTCCCTATTCTTACTGTTTACTCATGAGAAAATTCAAGCCTCACTGCTTGCCACACGCAGCTGCTGAACCCCAAACGATTATGGGATGCATTTCTATGGTATATATGAGCATGCGGCCATCGCTGGTAGAAAAATAGTAATAAAAATAACAAAAGGCGTAAAAAACAACACGTTAAGGTTTAATATATTTCGGATATCTACTTTGTATTTCATTAATGGCTTCAATGTCTTGCAATGTAGATTAAACGTAGCGGTACGCTGTAAAAGTGCGTAATCCAAGCCCACAACATATGTACCTAGCTTATCCGGGCCATTTTAATGGATTGGGCATTTCGAATTGTTTACTTATCGGCGTTTATAACTTAATTGGACGTTATTAGAGAACAACGACGATGTATTACTTGGTGACGAAATATTAAGTTGTTGTTTCTCGAGAGGTCGTTAGCGCAGTCCATCGAAGACTGCTGAAAACATTGGACTTTGAGCAGAATAGCTTGTTATCAGCGCAATCAACATCCGGGATGCGCAACCTAAAAGGACTTCAGTACTTCAAACGCAAAAATAATTTACAGTGAGCGAAATAAGAACTGGATAGTATCTTTCCTGTTGGCTTACCGTAAGATTCCCTATAGTACATATTGTACGTTCTCAAAACTCAAATGCTGAAGATGGAAAGATAGCTTTCTCACGAGCTCAATCCGACTGAAACATGTGCAGTGTACTCTAGAGACATTTTACACAACTACTATCAGGAAAAATTCCGCCGGGAGCACACCGTTACCACGGACAAGAGACTGCCCACTAGCGAAAGAATCCCGTCGTACAGAAAAGTCTTCGGTGACTCTACCGGATCAGTTCGGGAGTGAGCTGATGCTCTTATTCGAAATAGAAACACCTATTATTAGATGTGGTCTGAAAATAATATTGTTAATAATAACAAATATCTATATCGTATGGTATGTAAACACAGGCATAGCTGTCGAAAAACGCTGGCTTCAGTGAATTAGCAATAAAAGTAATACATCTAATATATATATATATATCAAGGTATCGTTTTCGAGGATTCGTCAAGTACCTCCCAAATACATATTCTTTGTTTTATTAACTAACTACATGTTACATTGGTGAAATGTAGACGATCAGCCCCCTAGCGTCAGAGGTTTAGCAATCTGAAAGACGAGAGTACTAAAAGGAAGTCCAGTTTTCATTTACGATGATAGTGCTTTAATCCAATGAATTGCTGTTACATAATACGCACAGAAGTATATCGAGCGGAAAATTTTTTGAAATGATGTATAAAGTGCCTTGTCGTAAAAAACATACCAAGAAAGAGGTAGCTTTTCTCAGGCGGATACCCTCCGACGTTGAAAATTTGTAGAAGATCGTGAAACTGACCATGTACATCACCACAGATCTGAAGTGGAGCCTCTACCTCGAGTAGAATACTCTCTGCCAAGAAAGTTTCGCGCGTGATATGACACAATCGTTCTACCTGTTTCAAACAGCAACATCGAACAACCGCGCGAGAATGAATCCCAAAAGTCAAAACGATATTTCGAAAAGTAAAATCATTGCCGCTCACCAGCCTATCAAAAGGGCTCATTGCGATCGATATTAAATATTGGTGACATTGCAGTTGTAGTTTATTGTACTTCTCCAATGAAACGTGCCATCTGTATTACCAACGTACCTCTGCTTCTTCGAGCTGAACACCTTTGCCGGGCATCGTATCCCGCACCTCAAGCAACTTCGAAATTAAACCGTCAATATCAATTGTCGGATTTAAAGCATTATCGTTGTTATTCTGAGTTATTTTGGGGGTTGTATCCATTTTACCAAAAGCTTTTCACGTAGATTTGGATGCAGGTCGATCCGCACAATCTATCTAGCACCAGTCAACGAAACTTTCAAGGCCGAAAAACGTACGTCGCTTTTATCACGACCCGGGCTTACTACCACGGTACGCTGGACTTCGTTTTTTATCAGTCAGACGAACAAACCAAAGGAAACGTTTGGTTCGATTGACCTCGAGACAGCCTAGTTTTATCCACAGCATTTTCTCAAGTAGTCAGAGCAAATAGTAACATAGGCGTCTACACAGAAGGATCCATCGCTTGAGATTGGCCTATAAGGAGAAGCACAAGCAAAACTAGTGTAGAGAACTCGATCTGAGTGGGCAAACACCGGAAACGTATGGTTAGAGTAGTCGCCGCCAGTCGCTACCGAGAAAAAGCTCTATTGTGATTGTTATCTCGTTTGTTACGCGCCTTATACAGCCCATAGGGCTGAACTGAAAGTGGCAGGACGAAAGTGTCCTTTTGGTGATTTGGATGTAATGTGTTTGCCTACTAAACTTTAGGTTACTCAAGGTTGTTTAGGTTAGAAATCATACATAGGTACACTTCATTTCGAGCTGAAAACCAGCCGTCCGATATAATGTTCAGTGCTAATACTCGATGTAAAAATAGAAACATTTATGGATAAAATTAGGTACATAGACTCCGACGTTTTCTTATAGCCGCGGCTGTTCCCGGCCGTCAGCCTCACTTCGTTCTCCTTAGCTAGCCTAATGATACAAAAAAAAAAGTACAAAAGTTGAAGATGAGTACCTTATCTGGGCTCTAAGTACAGCGAGCGTTAACGCAGTTGATCCTAATCAATGACCGGCACTTTATTCGAACAGATGAACATTTCATAGAGAAAGTGAAGCGGCCCAGAGGCTTTGGACACCAAAGTCAAATGCTAGAAGTAGGCGAAAGAGGATTTGAGCCGATTATCAAAACAGGGTTTACAGTAATCAGCATGTTGAATTACACGAGCAACGGCTCACTGAAGACGGCCATAGGGCCTGCATGGCTGTAGCTACTATCTGCACACATTTGCAGCCTCTCCATAGCATCTGAACGAGCTTCATAACGGCAAACTTTGTGACACAATCGTTATAAATTTTAGTAGTTAATAACAGGAGCAGTGACTTGTTCTAAATGCTGAGTACTGGTAGCGTTGCGAAAGCGGTTTTTATATTGGCCTGAATTAAGTCTTTGCTACCAGCTGCTATGAGTCAGGCTTAAACTTTGTTTAAACTTGACTCGTTCTGTATCATCGTTCTGACACGTTATTTGTTTTACCAGTGTTATCTAAAATCAGAATACGCGGCCGATTTTGATTGTTTTGAAGAAAAAATTTGCCAGTATAGAAGATATAGCTTCTTTTGTCGTTATATTATAAAATAGACAATAGACTAAGTCTCCAAAGACCAGAAGATATAACTTTGTGACAAAGGTCATTTTAAATCATTTCCCATAACGAACGTACATACATCACCCTTTCATTAATATACTAGATATGGTAACATATAAATCATTCACTGACCATTGGCCAGCATAGAATATGCCGATTTTTTATATGCCGATGCTAGCGTTTTTGTCGAACGTTTGAAGCGCTTCATAATAAAACTGCCACACATGGAAATTATGTCGAAATAAAGAATTCACTATTACTAAGAAAAAGTGGCGTTTCTATAAAGGCGTAAGATGTACAAGGTTACATTATTGCTGCTATTAGGAATAGTTGTATGACAAAATTGTCTACGGATTATAAGCAACAATTATGTCTTGTACCTTATTAAATCTCTGCACGATTTGACACTATACGTTCGCCTAAAAATTTCAGTGTATTTTGCAAAGATATAATGTCCTGTTTATTGTCGCCTAGCAACGTTTACTAGTAGGTCAAGAATTGGCCGTATTCCGACGTATCGACGACTCTGCGAGTAGGTCCAACAATGGCGTTTGTTCAAGGGTCATATCAACCTTATAGCTTGTTTCAACGTTAAACGTATATAGTGGATTTTACGTACGTATGAGTATAGTAGAATTTGAGAAAAGATGTCCGGGATACAAGCTGACGCAGTGTGCTTCTTTTCTACTATAAAGCATTAACTATAATTTTACATAATCAGAAATATTCGAACAGTTGTTATTACGTTAATTTTGCATTTTGTCTTTAATAGAAAAGCGTCAGACAACACTTTGTTTTTATTAAATTGTTTACTATGCAAATAAAGTATATTATCGAAGAAAAAATTAATTGCTAAGAATTATAGATGCTGTAAGTAAGTCCACAACAAATGAATAACGCGTTTGCAACTTATCCAAACATTACAGAATTTTTGCCAGAAGTTGTTCGACATTTTAGGTCCGTTCATGAGCCTCGTTCTTCGTTGGGGCTTCTCTGTATCTAGTCATGTACGGCATGTTAAGTTAAAACGAAGTAATATAGAACGCTACGTTATGTGTTCATACAGGCATCGGACCTGAAAAATTTGTAGGCATGTCTCTTACTGTTTAGAGTTTTACATCTGACATGAACTCTAGGTATCAGACCGCTGGCCCACAGCACGAAACGGCGTGTGTCCATGCCCAGATTCGAACCTAGACCACAACGAGTCTTTAATAATTAGCAAGCAAATACGTTGCCCACTAAACCATCACCGTAACACAGATACACGTCTGGCGATCTCCCGTATGTAGTTGGCTTTAGTCTTATCCGGACCGACGATATTGCAGAGTTGAACCGTATTTTTGCCTTTTCATTTTGTTTACCGAGATTTACCGAAGTCATCTCTTGCTTGATTTGATAAATAACCCCCTTTCATATGAATCTGTCGAACTGTAGTTCTGTAGGCCTAGTACTGTAGGCATAGTAGCCTCTGCACTGTTAACTGTTTAACTTTATTTATATTATTATTATAAAATCGACGGATGAACAGGTTAACGCCACATCGAATTACACTTTCACCTTTCGTAATGACTTCTCAAACGAAGACCCAAATAATGACAGAGCTGTGCGCCGTACCATAATATGTAGTGACAAATTAACTCCACCGATTGTCCTAGAGAGGGATCCCATCTACAGACATTTTACCATCAGCTATTTCCTCTCCTAACCCGTCCCACTAAGTTTTTATTTACAATTTTTTAATACTTATTGATTTTTGTTTCATGTTCTTGTTATCGACTCGAGTTTACTTGGCTGCTGGAGCGACCCTTCGCAAGCTGTCTTTCGTTGTGTTCGTAGCTGTGGATATATGTGCCCTTAGTTTTTTCTTAGTTCAGCGTGTTGGTCGATTCAACAATTTTTCAGTGACTTTAATTTTCCTTTGCTTCACCCTAATTTTATGCGAGCCTGGTAAAATTTTCATATTCCGTTCCATATGTCCCTACTGGTAGTATCCAAATTTGGGCCTAGGGCTTCCTAACCTTTGATTACCTTGAGTTTAGTCATGTATGTTTTTTTGGATATCCTCAACGGCACTGAATCTCTATATTCACACTATATCGTGTTTCAAGGGATTTTGCAAAGCCTTGTCAGAATTCCTTCTATATGGAAGCCCGCCGCGTCTGTCATTTTTTGCGCCCATAATATGTAAGATTCCGTTGTAAGATACGACCACTTCTACACGAGTTTTTTGTCCTTTAGTTGTTTAATGTTTTTAGGAATCCTGTCGGTGTCCTCGCTGTTAAGCCATGTGAAGTAAGACAATCTACGGCACTTTCCATTCTTTCCGAAGGATTCTTGAAACTGCCGCGTAGTGAGTTATCGTTCTCTATTTCGATCAACATTTTTCGGAAGAATAAAGTTATAAACGTGTCCGCTCTGACCTCTAGTGTCAGCTGGATAAAAATCCACTTAAATAATCCCCAAAAAAGACAGCGAATGAATTATTTTTCTCGGCGGAGAATTTTGCACCCGGTCAATCAACAGGGCACACAGCTTGGATAGCACTGACGATCCTCCCTCGTCGTTATAACCCACTCTGGCTTGTTGTTTCCTTCACACGTCCATTAATCGTCTGCTGCCTTAACTATCTGGCTAGTCCTTGTTTATAGTTCCAGTGGCGGAATAATTTTAGTTATTATAATAATATTAGGCTAAAACATAGAATGATGGCTTACTTGTCCTGCCCAGTAAACAACACTGAAACAATACTGGTCTGCCGATGTACTAGCTATACTTGCTGGTAGCGGTTGTCGGTAACGTTCGATAAAAAACAGTCAACAACCCTGCTTTCATAATTGCTTGATTTATTCCTGTGAATGTTTGTAGCTTTGCAATGCATCGCCCTTTAGTCGTCTCTTGTCAGTTCCGCTAGATACAAAAAGGCACCATTTGACGCGATTTAATACTCGACAAGGGCGCTTGAGGCAGTAGAGTTTCTCTAAAAGCATTGCCTGTTTCGAATTTCTTAGTGTATTCCGGTTATCTAATAGAGTGCTACCAAACTAGTTCTAAAGACATCTGTCCATTTACGTGGCCGAGATTGGCAAAACATTACTAAATAAACGCCCTTGTTCCTGCCGCTACGACCACGGCTAGCTTTCATTTGATCCGTCCGACGACCTCCACGAGTTCTTGTTGTGTCTTTGCTATTATCATCGTACATATTTAGTCAAATGTTGACCCGGAGATCGGTCCAGGGGGTCTGAAACTTTGCCAGGGAATCGAAAAATAAGGAACAGGAAACAGCAGTGATTTCCCAGTTACGATGTATATATTTACACACATTGTGTGAAAGGGATGAGTGCGTCGTTCCTACGCTGTTGGTAAGTTCAAAGCTTGCTCTTTTCCTTTCGCGAAGCCCATAAAGCGGAAGTGGCGAAATTCAAAGTGATGTAGACCCACATCTTTAAGCCAAGTATATTTTTCCCTTCCTGATATACTCCAAAAGACAAACGCTACAAATTTTGCTTTTGCAACTCTCGCTGCCCTTTCCACTAACAATTTTTCAAGCTTATGGTTAATCAACTGATCAACTCTGCCTCCGATCACCATTTACTCCAATCACAAAAAAAACCTTAAAAGTTAAAAAGTAGATGTCAATATTACAGGAGCTAGATGTTTTTTGAGGTATCTTGGTATTTCGATTTTTCATGTATCATATACGGTGGAATGCTATTCTTTTTACAGTGGTATAGCAATAGAACTAGGCTTTAAAGATTCCCGATCTCTGTAGTCATACATGGATATAGCTGCCGCATTTATCAGACAATGGAGAAAGATGTAATTTGTCGACTCCCAGGCCCAGCTTGTCGTTCACCTATCTTAGCCACTATAGGCCCGCT